CGCCATGAATGGCTGCCCCTGTGCCAGGCCACTCTGCCTTGGAGCCAGCTGAGTATGGACTGAAACTTCCACAAACTGTGAGCTAAATAAACCTTTCCTTCATTAGTTTTGGGTGTTGGATATGTTGTCCCAGCAACAAGAGAAAAGTAACCAAGACAGGGTCATTGTGATTACACTGGGCCACCCACACAATCCAGCAAAACCTGCCTATTTTAAAATGAGTTTTGCTCACTTGGCTGCCTAAGCTTCTGTATTTAGAGTCTGAAGATTTGGACAGGGTTAACTTTAAAGAGGCCACTATTTTGCCTACAACAATGTGTATGTTGAAACCATCAAGAGTTATGAGAGGAGGAGAGCTTTAGAGTGTTTGGCAATGAACCATAAGCTTTACTATGGACTGAAAAAGATGTGTTGGGGAAATCTGTAGATAACTTGAGGACTGGGTAGAACAGAATGGTATAGCGGGAGATCTAGTGATGGAGAAGGTAGTATTCAGGACAGAGTGCATGAGAAAGTATTATTTGGAAATAAAAATGAGACACAAGCAGCATGTGACCTCCAGCACCCATAGGCATAGAGGCATTGAAGGAAAAAGGTGTGCACATGAGAAGGTCATGTCCACTAGAACAACGGCCATTAGAAAAAGAAGAGGTTGGGACGTGACAGTTTCTGCTGAGTTTAAGAAAGACTGAACAGTGGAAGGGCTCCAGTGTTTGGGGTGAGGTCAGAAAAGGATGTATGCAGAGCTTTATAGGGAAAAAGTTCCAGGGGGAAAAGGATGTTCCTGGGAGCCGTGACTTCTTCTGGGAGCAGGGGTGAGCAGGATAAAGACTCTACAGATTGTTCTACTCTCAGAGTGGTTGGTGGTGGGAAACAGGAGGGTGAGTAACAGGGGGAAGTTCTTGCCAGGGGTATGAATGTAAGAAATAAAAGAAGAGGGAAAGAAAGCAAAACTTGCAGCAAGGACAGCCTTTATTTAAAATCAAGACCTGAGAGGGGCTATCAACTCTGAAGTACCCCACAGTGGCTAGAAAACACCACTGTATGTATCACTGATTTATTGCTTTTTTTGGCTGGATGGCAGAATTTAGTTGCTTTTCTCCAGGTGATTAGCACTTCAGACACTGGTTACCAGGATTAGTTCCCTTTTGTAATTAAAATATAGTTGCCCAGTAGATGCAATGTTTTGTGTCCACTCTTTTCAGTGATTATTTACTATTTGCACATGGATATTTTCCTCAAAATATTGCTCAGCTGTGTAACAAAATCCATGAGTTCATCATTATAACATATTGATTTTATTGGTTTACCCAACTGAAGGCTTCAATTCTCATTACTTTTTATTATAATTATAGGTCTCCTAGGATTTTCATCTCTTGTTAATAGATTACTAGAAATTGAATCTATGCAGTTATTATTCCTTTTAGGAAGTTTTTCTTTTAAATGTAGTATCTTGGAATACACAGTCAAATCCCAGTTTCATTTGGTGGTTTCAGTGGCAAACTGAATAACAACTTTGCACGTTTGTTATATCTGGTTGTTAGGTGACCTTTAAGGTTTACAGTCTTTCATCTTCATAAAACAGTATCGATCCTTCTCTGCTCCCTTGGTTTATTGATAGTTTCTTGCATTATTGTTTCCTGATTACAAAACAGAAACAAACCTTTACAGATATCTAATAGAAAAAGAAACACACTGTTAAGTTTTTCCTCCTCCACTTTCTACAGTGAGTAAAACTCAAACATATGACAGTGGGTCATTTCACATTGCTTTGTTAATTCCTTGCAGGCTTGATGCTTATTTCTCACTGCCCCATAAAGAATTGTTCAAATGTGTGTTTTTGTTTCTATAATTTTTGTAAAACCTGCTATAATTTTGTAGAATTATTTTTTGTCTCCTTTTTTTCCCTGAATGTAGAAATATTTTATTTTGGTTATTTCCCTGGATTCTATGTTTTAAAAATCCACCCATTCAGGCATAAGCAGCCTGTGATTCTAACTTTGCATGTTTTATCCGCGTATTTCTCAAGAATGGTAATCCAGATTGCTTCCAGCTCAATGATTTCTTATTTTCTTTGTGGTCTCTACTGCCTCTTTTATCAAATGTTAAGTTCCTATTTATATGATTGTCTTAGTTTCTTTTCTTATTGCTGAGACAAACACTCAAGGCCTAAAGTTAGAGGGGAAAAAGATTTATTTAGCTCAGTTAGAGATATGTCAGTCCATTATCAGTGACTCCAGGAAAGGTGGCACATAGTGGAGGGGCAACAGTTCATGGTGGCAAAATCACCAAAAGCAGCAAGAAAAGAGACAGCAAAACAAGCCTTTCTGCCCCAGTCTATTGGGATTTAGGACAGTGCCAATCCAATCAATAAATTGATCTAGCAATCACTCACCCTTAATCCCAGAACCTCTAACCCCAGCGTTGCACTATGAATCAATTACACACTCTAGATTCATCTGCCTCTGAAGAAAAACCCTAGGACCCCATAAGGCTTTGGGAGGATGTCTAGACACAAACCATAACAAAGCCAGTCTCTCTTGCGTGATAAATTAAAATCTATTAATTGACATATTTGTTATTGTATGTAAAAAATTGAAAATTCTTGGTAGTCCCATCTCACCTTTTATCAAATATATTCTAACACATGTGGCATGCTTGATGTCAGATTAGGAGCTCCTATCCTATCACTAAGAAAGAACTGTAATAATTTTATTGGAATTATCAGATGTTTCCCTCAGTACTCCTCTCCCCTAGGCAATGTCCTTTAATATTGTTTTGCCCCTTTAAGTTTGTGTATCCCTTGCTTCGGGGTATGTATATACATCTTGCCAAGGTGGACGCTCTAAAGATGACATCTGTCCATGTGAGTCCCTCTTACAGGCTCTGTCTGTGGAGGTGGTTGGAATCATGCCCTTTAGGAACTACTGTGTGTGTGCACATCTATGATAAGGGAGATTTTTTTGTTGTTCTTAATATTCTTAATTCCTATTTATGGAATTAGAAAAGACTGAAGCTAGGCTGAGTAAGTTTGGTGCATGGGGGTTGGGTTGCTGACTGTTCCTCCTTTGAAGAACTGTCTAAGACATCTATGAAATGAAGACCAGTTTCCAATTTCAATTAAATTCCAATTTCAATGAATAGATCAGACACAGTCTCAGTAGTTCAAATTTAGAAGTGGAAAGAATCATAGGGCATTCAGTATTACTTTGATTATTTATGTAATAAATAGGAGTGCTGAGACTTCAGAGGGTCCTTGGGCAACTCAAGACATGGAGAGAGATACTTCCTGAGTTTTGGTCTTTTAGGACAACAAAATGGAAACACCACTTGGCAGTTAAAACTAAAAGTTATAGCCAAAAGATATTCTTTAAAGATGATGTCTACCCACATTTCATTGTTTCTTTAAATTTATGTCAGATGTTTCAAACCTGTTTTATGGAGGAATCCATTTCAGTGACCAAATATCCTAATTTAAATATATAAATAATTTGAGATACTTACTTAGAGGAAGTAGTTTATATTTCACTCCTTTGTTTAAAAAATTTTCATCATGAATAAACAAAAAAATCACCATTTTAATAACCCTAATCAGGCACCTAATATGAAAGATGACACAAAGGATCTGAGGTGACTTCTAACAGATTGTTTCCCCACCCTCTTTGGAATGAGGAAAAACATGAACCATCCTTAAGGAATTTAGAAGTAAAAAAGGTAAGCAAGAATTTGGAAATATCCTATTGTCAAAGGCTGTGATGACAGTCTGAATAGACTTGGGAGCCTGAAACCAGCTCACTTCTCTTTCTGAAAAGCCTCATGCTGGAGATCATGATGTCATCACTAGCAGGATGAGGGGTGTCTATGAAATCATTGCTGGAAAAACTCAAGGGTTAAAAATAAGGAGGCAGAAGGCTGTCAACTCTAGTCTCCTCATGATGAGCCAGGCTTATTTTACTAGCAAAAGCTCAGTAATTTTATAGACGTGAAAACAATAGAACAGTTCATTATGTGGCGTTCAGTAATGAAACAGAGGCTGCAACTAATACACCTGATGGGAGACACCCATGCGCTGTTGGACATTAGTTTTGAATTTTACAATCGTTCTGGCTTTGTTACTGGGGTATTAGGATTATAAATGTTTCCAGGAATTGAAATGCTATTAAGTGTCATGGTTCACTTTTCTCCCGACACTCTGAGAAGGCTTAAATCAGACAGCATGGAAGAGACAGGTTTCTGCCTTGTGGTCAGACTTGCCTGATCTAAGTCAGTCATTGAAAAGAGGTTCTTTCAAGAGCATGAGTCAGAGCACTTTGTCCCTTGCTTTGGAAGAGCTGAAAGCGCCCAGCTTTTATATTTTAATCTTCTTGGTTATGTGCTGTTGTAATTCATCCAGTTTAAGTGCATTTCAAATCAACATGTAAATTACCACATTCCATTTCACTTCTCACAGGGAACTCTGGTTTGGATGGCAGTGAAAAAGAGAGGAACTTGCACTAGGAGTTAAAAATTATAAGAAGGCCTGTGGACGGAGTCACGATATGGATGGTTCTTGGGGAAAATCAGCGGCCCACATTTAGGACCTACACAGATGCGTTTTTACATAGTAACACATTCGTGCTTTTGTTATTGTACCGTAGCCCCCACTCTTTGCCTTTAAGGATCTAATTCTGTTCCTAAGTGATGGTCAGTTTCTCGTTATTTTTCTACTGACTATGACGTTTCTAAAACAAGATCCTGAAGAATGGTTTGCCCCAGTTAAAAGTGCTGCTTGAACTTCATTTGGACGTCTGTTGGAATTTTATTTCAGTAAAGAGTATGGAAGCAGTCCCTGGAATCTAGTCTTCAGTAGGTGGGCCTCAGGCAGAGGTGACCCAGAAGGCGACCTCTGCAGCTGGGGCGGTTTCTGTGGGTCTGCGATGGCCTGGGGCAGGAGCCTCCGCAGGCCGAGAGGGCCGTGGGCTGGGCGGGGCCGGGCTGACCGCGCTGGGAGTGAGTCTCTGTACAGTCAGGGCTTCGACTGGGCAGGGCCAGCTGCTAATCTTGCCAAGCGGACACCGGGGCGGGAGGACACAGGCCTTATAGGTGGCGCCGTGGATGAGAAACACTTCGCTCAGGTGAAAGGGTGGCGGCCAAAGGGAGTTCCCACCTGTCGAATTCTTAAAGACCTGAAGATTTAAGAAAATAGCAAGGAGGGGCCGATCGGAGTCTTTGGACTCGCCTGGAGCCCCACCCTCGACCACAGGAAAAGCCCCTTGGGTGGAGGCCGGCACTTCAGAGAAAGCAAGAAGAAAGGCGCTCCCCACGCGCTCGCCGGACTCCACACCGCGGACCCAGCCTGCGCCCCGCGGGAGCCCTCTGCCCGGCGGGCGGCGTGCGGTGCGGCGGCGGCGACCTTCCTGTCCCGGCGCTCCCCATGGCGGCGCCCGGACCCGCGCGCTCCCGGAGCGGAGCCCCCTGCCGGCTGCTGCTGCTGACCCTCACGGTGAGCGCCGCGTGGCCGCGGCTGGAGAGGGGACTCCGACCGCCTGGGGAGCGGGGCTGGGTCGGGGTGGCCGTCAAAGCTGGGGTTCAGGGCCTCGAGGTGGCTAAGCATGAGCTGGAGCTGGCTGGGGGTGGGGAATGGCAGATAGGAAGAGGAGCTCGACCCGGAGTCCCCTAGGGGAGGGCAGGGTGACTCGCAGATGTAATCGCCGCGCGCAGCTAGAGGAGGAGGCGTGAGCGCCGAACGCCCTTCCAAATCCGTGGCCTCTGGGTGCGCGTCTGGGAGCTGGGTGCGCCGGGGCTACCTTGCGCGCCTCTCCCGCGGCCCCGGGGTGCACACCCCCTCCGGCAGGGTGCCGGAATCGGGCCGCCGAAAGGGCAGATGCAGGACGGACGGGATAGAAAGCTAGTGGCCTTGGGTGCAGGAGGGGACCCCTCATCTTTTTAGGGAGGTCGAGCTCTGTGCGTGCGTGGGTCTCTGAGGGGGGATTGGGGAAGGAGCCTCTCAACCCTTTGTTCCTGAAGACCGGAGATGGCAGCGCTAGGTGACCATTTACACAGTTTCCATTGTTGACGGGTGCAGTTTCTGTCCTCGAAGTCTGTCGGGGAGCCCTTTGTCCCTGGAGGCATCTGGATTTCCTCTTCCGACCCCAGCGCCACGCGCCACCCCCACCCCACCACACCTCAGGATCTTTCCCTTTAAAGCGCGCAACTGTGACGACCTCATTCCTTCCCGGAGCTGAGATCCAAAGGAGTTGGCGGTGTTTGGGACAGGACTGTCCTCTCCCGGAGGGAACAGACCGGATCTTACGCGTGCGCCCGAGGCACCCGTGTCCCTTTTGGGCGAGCTGCCCTATGGGATCTGCGCTCCAAAATGCTCCTTTCTGGACTTTTCGTGGAGGGGAAAAGTTATTTCAAGGAGGTGTAAAAGAGTACACGACCTAATTGTGTCCTTTCTGAATGAGCTTCTGGAGGCGCTGGACTCCAGGTCAACCCTGAAAGACACCCACAGGGACTCTGCGAATTTTTTTTTTTCTAGGGGTCGTGGAACCGAAATCTTCACTCTTAACGCTCTTATTTCACAAAGCCTTACGAATTTTTTTTTTAAAGTAATGGCGCTATAGTTAGCAAATACTAGAGTGTTTTTGGTAAAAAACTGAATGGATTCAAACCTTTAGCTCAGATTCCAGGGCGTAGCTGTTACAGAGGAAGGGCCAAGCAAACAGCAGTTGCCATTTTATGTATGAGGAAACTAAGGATGGAATGAATAACAGTTACAAAACATGTTGCTCAAAACAAAAGACGTGAAGTGTGATTCGTTTCGGAACAAGGCTGGCATTTCTAAATTGTTAGCCATTATTTTTGCAGGAAAAGGCATGGCTAAGGACCTCAGTAAACCGCATTGCTCTATGTGGAACTCCCCGCCCTCCCCATGGCGCACACAGGTCCTTTTCCACACACAGATCCTTTAGAGAAAAAGCAGGGTATGAGCAATGAAACCGAATCCCCGTTGATCTTCCTTAGCTTCAGGGTGTGCTAGGCCAGGAGCAAGGTAGCGATCGCTGGCCCCCGCTGCACCCTTATCCTGCTTGGAAGCCTTCCTGTGAGCCCGGGTTGTGGTTGTGGGAAATGTGTCAGCCTAAGTGTGCGATATGATTTAACAGAATGACTTTGAGGGCGAGGCACCCTTTGCCTTCCCCTACACCCTGATAATCCTTTGCCATTCCACAAATCAGCATCTACTGGCTTCTTGGTTTTGACTCACCTCCTTCACTGGTTAAACCCTTGAGCCTCAACACCCAGCAAGTTTCCCTCTCTGAGGTCAATGGGGGTCTCCACTGTCAAATCCGAATACACTTTTCATTCCTTACACAATTCCGCCCTGTTCTCCTACCCCTCATCTTGAAATTCGCTTTCTTTGACTTGTCTGATCACTCCAAATCTCACTCACTACTGTAATGCACCTTGAGGTCTACTGTTTTAAAAGGTGCCATACAGTAAGGTCTTTAGAAATTTTTCATCTTTTGTAACAGAAACGTCATATCCAGTCAGTAACACAAAGCCCCATTTCCCCCACACCCCAGCCCCTGCTTCTATGGGTTGTATTTTCTGCTTCTATGGGTTTGATTACTTTTTCTTCCATGGTTAAATGCTCACTTTTCCTTGGGATTGTGTTTTAGGTCCTGTCTCTTGGAGTTTACCTCTCTTTTCTAGGTCATTTCACCTACTTTTACGGTGTAAAATGTCACACAGATGCCTACATGTCCTAAATATTGCTAGTTCACATGTCACTGAATAATAGGCCTTTATATCTCTGCCTACTGTGTATGACACCGTATTTGTTATCTTGCATAACAACGCCATTTTTCTTTTAGAGTTGTGTATTTCAATGTTTAGCATACCCATATGTTTTGCTCCTCAAACAGGAGTCTGGAAACTATTTTTCCTTTCTCAGTAAATGTCAGAAGATTTACATTTAAAGATACCTCGTAGATGTATCTATCTTAGGTTATATGTATTACAACTTCATGCTATTTACAAATAATGTCACAATGCATAAACTTGACTGTATGTCATTTCATATCATTAGTGGAGCCAGAAGTGGAACTGAAGAACAGAAGTGCAAATGGCTTTGTAACTGTAGTAAATATTGCTCTTTCCTCCACAAGGCTGAACATGACTAGACAGAGAACTCTTTTACAATGGCATATTACTTCATTGAAGATAAGAGGTTATTAGTATAAGACATGACTAAGAGTGACTTTGAGCCAACTTGAACTAGGCAGAGATTTGCCAAAAAGTAAAATCGAACCCATATTTCATACATAACATCACAGGAACCTCTCAACCAATGAAGTATTTAAGTAAAAAATATGACACCATATGTATTCATGTATTCTAGAAGAAAACATGATTAATTCCTAAATATTTGGAATCAAGAAGGCTTATCTCTGACTCTGATCTCAAAGTTAAAATACTAAAATTCAGAAAATCAGTTGTATAAAAATAAAGGCACATACTTGGTATGCCAAAAATCTAAGCCAAACACTATAAGCAGTATTGAAAAGCAAATGGTTAACTAGGAAAAATACTTGCACATTGTATTTTAAAAAGCTATGTATGAGTAAAAGAATTCTTAGAAAATTAATGCAAAGTCCAATATAAACAACATGAAAAACCCTAATAAAGTAATGAACTGGTCATTAAAATATAAAAATATTTTAGCCTCATTTATAGCAAGAAAAGGTTAATTAAAATTATATTGAAAACCAAGCATAATTCCAGAACGTTGGGAGGTAGAGGCAAAAGGATGAAAAGTTCCAGTCAAACCTGGACAACTTAGCAATTTAGTAGGCCACCCTCTCAAAATAAAGATACAAAAAGAGGACTGGGGATGTAGCTCAGTGAGAAGATCCTGGGTTCATCACCAGTGTTACAAAAACAAACAAATGCAAAACAAAATTTGGCAAATACCCAAAAATGTGCTAATACATATGTAAGCAAAAATCTGGATAAATAGAAATTAATGTAAATTTTTGACAGTTGTAACAAAAAATGCTCTTTATGGGCAGTATATAGTCATATCAAGTGCATACGAGGAAGTCGTGTACTTCTTTTGTTCACATTCATGCAAATCTATATCTATTTGCATACTAATTGCATTGACACTTTAGAAGATCTTTTAACATCCGCTAGGGCCAATATCCTTTTATTGCTCTTCATAATATTCTTGTCTAATTTGAATTATTTGTATGAACCTTTGAATCAGCTGGTTAGTTCCAAGAAATATTCTGTTGAGAATTTTATTAGGATCATTAAAGTCTGTAATTTAACATAGTGAAGATTGATATATGAATGTTGTTGATGGTTTTAAATCCAAGATAATGATATATCTTTCTTTTTGTCCAAGTTGTCTGTGTCCTGAAGAAATGTTTTGATATTTTCTTCAAATAGGATTTGCATGTTTCTTCTTAAGTTTACTCTTTGGCCTGCTGACATTGTATTGCTTTTGTAAATGATTTCTCTTCTATTATCTAACTGGTTTTGTTTATGGATATGAAAACTAGTGATATCTATATTTTAATAATTCTCCCATAATTATTGGTTAATTTGCTTGGATTTTTCAGGTATAAATATGCAAATGCAATAGTTTTTTTTTCCCTCTTCTTTTGCAACTCATGTACTTTTGCTTAATATGCATCCATTATAATGCAAAGTGCTTTATGGTGAATTTGGGAAGCTGACCCTGTGTCTTAGGGCAGTGAGGTTGTTTCTAGTCCTTTTCCATTGGTGCTGTGATTATAATATATAAAAATCATAAAGCAGGAATATTCATTAGTTCCTAGTTTTTAAGGCTTTTTTTTTTTAATAAAATAGTGGGTTTTGAGTTTAATCAAGTATCTCTCAGCATGTATGGTGGTGATGACACGGCAGGCCCAATTCATGCCTCAAGGTTTCTAGACCAAGCTAGATATGGAATGTGGATTATAGATCCACAAAAAGACCAGTTTTCCACCTGCTCAGCCTTAGCCCTGGGGACCCAGATCATTTGGAGCAGGCTCATCTCTTAGATTGTAGGTGGCCCTGTGCTTTCATTCCGCTACTTCTGCAAGAAATCAGTGTCAAATCTGGGCAAGTCAAAAGTTGGTTCTGGCTTCTTCTGATTGCTCTGTGTTACAGCTTTATCTTTAGTGTCTTTTTTTTTTTTTTTTTTTTTTTTTTGCCAGAAATTCCTTGCTATTTTTATCAGCTTTATTCTCATCAATTCTAGTTAGTTTTGGCATGGAGTTTTCCCTTCACTGGAAATGAAAATTGTTTTTCCCTGATCCATTCTCTGGTTCAGACATCATATTCAAACAACAAGTTGCTTATGTAATTTATTTGCTTGAAACAAATCTTTTTTTAATTATCTTTGGGGAAAAACTCAGATCCTTATTTTTTGCTAATGCCATGAAGAAACTACTGCACACCTTTTCTCTGAATCCATTTTAAATTTATTTCCTCTTATCCTATTCATACCAGGCATTCTGAGTTTGTTTTGTGCCACCTCTGAACCTATGTGGTTCCTAGGTGTGAAATTTAAAGCTCTGCCTCCCCAGGTCTTGGCTAATTGATCACCATTCTTCAGATGACCAGCCTGGCTGTGAGCCATATCCCTCAACCCCCGCACCCCACACCCCACACCCTACACCCCACAACTTGCACTCGGCAGCCCGCACTCTGTCCCTGTTATTCACTTTTCTACTTAATTGAGATTGCAACGTCTTACCCTTTAGTTGACCATTGCATACAGATCGCGTTTGTGCCACACATGCACGTGGGCCCAGAATCCTGTTACCATCCCTCAAAGTCTTAGTCTGGTCCTTAGCACCTTCTTCACCTCTGTTGTTCCAGTCCCAGTCCCTTTCAAGCTCTCTTAGATTCCTGCTGTGGCCTGTTGTTCTCCTGGCAGCCACTCTTGCTCTGTTCTTTGTATAAGTAGCAGAATGATTCAGTGTGAATTCCAGATTTCACTCCCAGGCAGCCTCTAGAAGCTATTGCTTCTTTGCACTCAGAACAAAATCTTTCTCTAGCCATGGACTTTTAGACTTGATGTGATTTGCCCTGGACTGACCTTTAGTTTTGTCTCCTGTGGTCAACGAGGTGACCTCCTGGTACCCTTAACACACACAACACAAGCCCCTCTGCAGTTGGGGAAGGCTTCTCCAGTTACAGAGCTGGTTTGCTTCCTCACTTCATTTAGACCCTTTTGTCACCCTTTTCCCTTGTTTTATTTTTCTTGAAACTTTTGTCTCTGCCTCAGCAGTGTGTGACAGTTGTATAGTTGTGTGTTTATTTTTTGTCTTTCATTACAACCTAATCCTTGAAGGAAGGATTTAGCTTTGTTCCCAGCATAGCCTTTGATTCTGTCTAGCATCCATTAGGCAACCAGTAAGTATTTTTCTTTCAACTACACTAGGGATTGAGCCCAGGGTCATTGCACCGAGATGCAACCATAGCCCTTCTTATTTATTTATTTATTGTGATGAGATCTTGCTAAGTGGTTAAGTTGTTCAGACTGAACTTGCTGTTCTCCTGGTTCAGCCTCCTAGAGTGCTGGATTTATAAGCATGTGCCACCGAGCCAAGACTATAAGTGAATATGCTCTGTCAGTCACTTTGAGCTGAGATCCTGGGAAGCTGATTCCACTCCCAACCCTCTTTTTCAACTATGCAGCCAGTGCAAGGCCTCATCTTTTAATTTCCAATTCAAATACATTTTCTTCATTGTACCCATTTTAAATTTCCAAATGAAATACAATTTCTGCCTTACGCAATCTTTCATATATAACTTAAATTAAGTTACAGGATGGTTAACATACATGAAATTGAAAAGTTTCATCCAAATTTAGATGGTTTAGTTTATGTTTATGGATGTTATAAATGATAGTGTAAATGTAGTCAGCTCTCTTGCTTTTGGCCAAAGGCCTTTGCAAAATTAGAGAGAGAAATGTGAATCTTTCAGAAGCATCCACTGTATAAAGATCCAGAGAATAAAATTAAATTTCAGTGTGTTCAAATATATTTTGCATTGGAATTAGTTCAGTCTAAACCATTTAAAAATTTAAGTAAGCTGGGGTTGGGGATATAGCTCAGCAGCATGATGCCTGCTTGGCAAGAGAGATCCTGAGTTCAATTCCCAGTTAGTAAGCTGTTTTCTAAAATGACTTTCACTTTCATTAATGAGAAGGTATTCCTATATGTTTGGTGTGTGTGTAGCACATGAATCCTCTTCCAATCACTGCCTAGTAATAAGCTAGTGATGTTCTTGAAAGATATGTAAGGTTTTTTGGGAAGATTAATGATTTAGAACCATAGCAAAGAGGCAATTAGAGAAAAAAAAAGAAATTTGCAGGCTCATAAAATTTGTTTTTTCTCTTTCTTTGCTATTTACATCCACATTCTATCTTTTCAAAGTTTTCAGCACTCTCACAGGTGGGTGCTGGGTCCTCGCTACACCCACAAGATTATTCAGTGAGATGATTACCAAGTCATTCTTGTAGACTCAGAACAAAGCTTACCCAGGGACATAGACCTAGTTTATATGTTTTGTGAGAAAGGAATATCACTCTTAACTTACTGTTTATTGTTGCTTTGATATGTTTTTCCTGATTTCTTACTTCAGTGTTTTCAGTTTATTTCGCTAATCACATAAATGGATTTAAAATTATACAAACTTAAGCAATTAAAAATTATTTATTTTAGATCGTAACATTTGCCTGTGAGGCCTGCAGACCAGTGATACTGTATGTTCCTTCCAAACTGGAAGCTGAGAAATTCGTGGGTAGAGGTAAGAAACTGCTAGAAAGTTTATCAATCATATTTTGGCGTTGTCTATTAAAAGTCAGTGTAATTTTTAGAATAACAATTTTGGGGCAGTTAAGCCTAACATGAGGGACTGGGGATATAGCTCAGCAGTGCAGCATCTGCCTGGCTAGCACAAGGTCCTGAGTTGAATTCCCAGTACCAAAAAAGTCTAATATGGTACGTTGTCATTTGTAATACATGTAGGATCATTCTAATGAAAACATTGTGTTCTTTATTGGAAAGTATTGTTGTAAGAAGTAAAGTCTAGTTTGAATAATGAAATAATTTTTAATATTTACATCAGTTGAATACTATGCATACTTCAAAGAAATTAAGAAATACTATTAAAACTATTTCTTGAATTTAAAGGCTTTGTGAATTTATCGCAGTTCACTTTTACCTTCTGTTAATTTTGTCAAATAATTTTTTTACATAACTGAGTTGTACAAGGAAAGATCAAACCAATGAAGAGCCAGAAAATGAATATTTTACAGATCCAGTGACTTTAGTAGTACGTTAATTTAATAACTACCAATTTTGATTAGCCAGATTTTGTTTTTAACTTCAAGTTTTCTTATGTATTACTCTGTAGCTAATTTTAGTGATGAAGAGAATCCATAGTTGGGGTTGGCTTAAGTGTTTAAACATGGAAGTTCATGTACTTTATTTCAGAATAAGAAAATTCTTTTCTTTAGAAGGATGTTAAAGACCGGGGACATAGCTCAGTGGCACAGTGCCTGCCTGGCAAGCACAAGGTCCTGAGTTTGATTCCTGGTACCAAAAAAAAGATGTTAAAAGATGACTTTGTAAGCATTTAAAGTGATACATGTGCTTAAGCACAATTTAAACTCATAGTTTCAGATGTCTTTTTACAAAATGATAAATTTGTATGTGGAGTTTATGGAATTTGAGTGTTTGGGTCCCCCATCCGTATATTAGAATAATGTCTCCACATTGCTATGTTTCATCTTTCTACAGTCAACCTGGAAGAGTGCTTTAAATCTGCAAATCTGATTCATTCAAGTGACCCTGACTTCCAAATTTTCGACGATGGATCAGTCTACACAACAAACACTGTTCTTTTAACCTCAGAGAAGAGAGAATTTTTCATATTACTTTTTGACACAGAAAGCCAAGAAGAGAAGACGATTTCTGTCTTTTTAGAGGTTCACACAAAGGTATGAGGACTATATAAGTAAAGTGTAATGGTGTCTTTTCTTTTTTCTTTTCTTTCTTTTTTGGGTACTGGCAATTGAATTCAGGACCTTGACCTCACCAGGAAAGCACTTGTGCCTCTGAACTATATCTCCAGCCCAGTGTTGGCCTTTCTTAAGGTTTATCTCATATTGCCACGGTAGAAGTGGAACAGGAAGGATATGAAATAATTTTGTTTGGAGAACAATGAAAGCTATCTAACAGCTTACCAGTGTTTTAAGTGGAAAAAATTTGGGTAGCACAAGTTATTTCAGGTTTTCATCTGAGATATAAAGGAGAAAATGGGATAAAACTATAGACTGAGAATTTGAAATCAGACACAAAGTAGCATTTGGTTGATAGTTCCTATAGCATGGGTTTCCAAAAACCATCTATAGAGAGATAAAAACTGTTTTCTCATCCATCTCAGCATGACTTATAGTCTTAGACAACAGATGACTGTGTTTGGAGGAGGTGTGGGTCACAACAATGCCTACTGCAGTGTGACACCCAAGATGAAAGTGGCTTCGGTTTAACACCGGCCATTCTTTGTGGCAGCAGTTTAAGAACGGTCACTGTGTGTCTCTCTCATTCTGACACAGATCTCTCTGTTGGTTCCTTGGCTCTGCTTAATTGTTGGTAAGTCGAAGATGCTTCTGCTAACTGTCAAACACATCTTTATTTTCTTCCCATATCTCTCCTCCATGTTTTTGCATGGCAGTGGGGCAATGGTCATCTTTACAGTTTCGTTTCTAGGCTTCCGATCCCACCTCTCTTTCTTCTGTGTTTCCACCAACTTATTTTATTTTCTTCAAGAGGACTGTTGTAATGGCAGCTGAGGCTGTTGTTTCTTCGTTATCTTTTTGCAGTGTTTGTTTTTGGTTTTCAAGCACTACCCTGGTCTTATTCATCCCCAGCTAATCCTCATGAGAGGAGAAATATTTATTAAAGTTCTAACGTTTGAAAATACTCATTGGCTTTGTCGTTTATTTTGTTTTCTCTGTCTTCTCATTCAAGGTACAAGAGGAAAACCATTCCAAGGAAAAACCTCTAAGACGTGCCAAGAGAAGATGGGCTCCTATTCCTTGTTCAATATTAGAGAATTCTTTGGGTCCGTTCCCACTTTTCCTCCAACAGGTATATAGTTTTTTGAAGTCTGTCTTTTTTTAACTTTTAAAAGAATTGACAATGATTGCAGTTATGTAAGAACAATTATGTAAGGGTGGAAGGTTTGTAGCTCAGTGGCAGAGCACTTGTTTAGCGTAGTTGAGGTCTTGGGTTCAATAACGAGGACCCCCAACACACACACTTCCAAGTACGTTAGCTCAGAGCCTCAGATCCATAATCCCTGCTACTGGAACTCTGAGGTAGGAGGGTTGCCAAGTTCAAGGACAGCCTGGGCAACTTAGTCAGATCCTTTATCCAAGTGAAAAACCTAAAAATAATCACATGTAAAAAGGCTGGGGACATAGCTCTGCACTTCCTGGGTTCAACCACTAGTATTGCCAGAAAACAAACAAACAAACAAAAAAACCAAAAAACAAGAGTATGTAAAAATATGAAAACATGTATCAGACTTTTCAGTATATTGTTGTAAATGTATTTCTTTATCCCTGTATATACTTTTTTGCAACTTTATTCATTACAAACCAATTATAAAACTGTAAAACTGTAGCATGCTCGACCACTCATTTCTTTGGTGATTTTTGTTTAAATCACAAAGCATAGGCATAGCCTTGAAATCCAAAACTATGTTTTATAATAAATGATGAAATGATAAAGGCTGTGAAGGATACAGACATGCATGTCTTTCTATTGCTTATTTCCAAGTCCATTTCTTAAATCACACCCTCATCCTTTCTCTCTCTCTCTCTCTCTCTGCCTTCTTTCACTCTCTGGTCACTGCTATTCAGTATATGACAAGGGTTTCTTTACCCTCAGTTCTTGCAATGGGGAGACAATCTTTCTTTATACTCCACTGACACACACAATACAGGCCAAGGAAGAGTATATTAAAGTTAAGAAAGAAGTTGTTAAGAAATAATTGTGTTAGTCACCCTGACAACAATGATAGTCAAGCTCTTAACTGAAAGGATGGAAAAAGCTCAGAAGAAATTTGCTTTCTGAATCAAGGACCAAAATGTTACCCTCTCCAGCATACTATTCCATTTTGATTTCATAAAATTTAACTTCTATAATAGAGGAGAAAAGTGAAGAATAATAAAAGTTTATTAGAAAAATTGCTTACCAAGTTTTGACCTGGCACATAGTACACTTTGAATTCAGTTTTTAAAATATTTTGCTATGTGTAATGAAAACAGTGTTGAAAAAAAATGACTGTGATTTTTCATGTTCAGAATAGTTTTGTTTTGTAATATAGCAAAAAGTTTTGCATGCTTGGTTCAAGTAGCCATTTAACTTTTAAACTATTTCTTAGTTATCCTGGAAAACAAATGCTGCTACATTATTTTGCTTGTCCTTTGCTCTTGAAACGTCTTAATTACTAAGATTCCTTATTTTATCGTTGTTATTTTGTTTGTTTGTTTTGAGTACCGGGAGTTGAACTCAGGACCTCACCCTTGCCAGATAAGCACTGTGCCACTGAGCTAAATTCCTGACCCCTGATGTATTCTATTTATTCATTAAAATAAATTTAAAAACCTCATTTTTTTGCAATAAAAATGGAGATATAACTGCATAAATATACAATTGATAGTTTTGATGAAATAAAAATGTGTCTCTTGTTTGTAATCTCTACTCTTCAGATCCAATCTGACACAGCCCAAAACTACACCATATACTATTCCATCAGTGGACCTGGAGTTGACATAGAACCTCGAAATTTATTTTATGTGGAGAGAGATACTGGAAACCTGTACTGTACGGGCCCTGTAGATCGTGAGCAGTATGAGTCTTTTACGGTAAAATCTAAAGCTTATGTATTGTGTTAGTCATTACAATGCTTGGTCATTTTATACCTCATTTTTCGTGCATTAATTTTTTTAAATTTTCTGAGGAATAATATTAGTTTCTGCTGGATAGTTGCTGCTGTTAGCTTTTTACTCTTGCTTTTGTGCAAAAGAAACAGTGAGTGTCATTTTGAAGAGCAGTTGGTTGGTAGGAAGGTATGGGATTCTGTTGATGGTATAGAAACACTGAAGGAGGTGAACAGGGCTCAGAAGTTACATAAACCTAAGTGTCTTTGCACTGAGCACTCATGAACTTATGCTAAATAGGTAATATGTGTGAACCATGCCTGGGGAAACTGATTCAGTCTTCTAATAACCAGGCTAACTCCCACGGTGGTATGTGAGTTCGTGTGTAACAACCTGACCTTATGCTGGTGTGGTGTCCCAACAGGACCTGATCATCATGCTGAACTCAACTTTAAATATGTCCTATCTATTTTGGATGAATTGATAAGTCATTAGGAGATCAGATTATCCAAAAGGACATGCAGGTTTTGATGTTTGATTGCAACATGAACTTCCAAGCATCTACAGTGTTCCGCTTTTATAAGACAAGTTAGAATTGGATTTTTTTTATAAAATCAAAAGAAATAATTTACATTTATTCAGTCATTCATTTGTTAATTTACATTTATTACAGTCATTCATTTGTTTTATTTCTAATTCCTGATTTTTAAATTGAAAAATTCTTAGGAACTCATCAATAACCTAAATGCCTGAAATATTAGTTAGCAGAAACTAACATAGTAACTCTGTTAACTGAATCTAGAGAATTTGTAATCCTAAAGAATCTAAGTGAAGAAAGATCCGGAAAGTTATATATATATATATACACACACATATACATATATATGTATGCATATTTTGGTCCTTTTGAGACAGGCTTCTCATATGCAGTTCAGGCTGGCCTTGAGCTCACTTTGAAACTCAGGCTGGTCTCAAATTCACAAAGACCCTCCTGCCTCAGCCTCCCGAGTGCCGGGATTTCAGGAGTGCACCACCACATCCAGTTGTCTTAGATAAATTTAAAGTACTAAACTATATCGTAAAGTTACCTGCTTCTTTTGGCATTATGTCCACATCCCAAAATAGTAACAAATGGTGAAACTAACTCTGTATGCTGACCTGTCTCCAAACTAAAGCCAAAGTGAATTTGAATTGTATGTTTTTCTTAATTTTTATTTTTATTAGTACACGTTTACAGTGAATGTATTCATCACAGGGGGTGATAACACATCTTAATTCTTTTTTGTGTCCCCTCCCCTTTCTCTCCCTCTCCTCTTCCTCCATCTCCTAGTCTCCTTCCCATTTGCAAAACATCTATCTCTGGGTGTCCAATTACCTGTCTCTTATTTTGCCCTTTAACTTATTTATATCTAGGGTTTCTCTGGTAACAGAAATCATGTGATAGTTAACCTTGCATGTCTGATTTATTTCACTGCAATTATGAATTGCATTTTGTTTTAGAAGACTATTTGTTTTCTCCTGACTTTGCTCTCCTCACAGCTGAATGCCTTTGCCACAACCCCAGATGGGTACACACCGGAGGAGCCACTAAGTCTTTTAATCAAAGTAGAGGATGAAAACGACAACTACCCCATCTTCACAGAGACAACATTCATTTTCACAGTTTCTGAAAACTGCAGAGTAGGTGAGTACCTGTTTTAATAATACATATCAACTCAAGTGTGTTTTAAAAAATGAATTTCACTATGGCTGCTAGAAAGAAATATAAAACTCGGTGATAAGAATAATAAGAACAAGGAACACTGAATGCTGCTTTTTACTAGCTCTGTGACCTTGGGCAAGCTGCCTCATTTTAACAGCCTTTGTTTCTTTATCTGTAAAATGGGTTAGAAAATACCGGATTATTATGAAGACTAAATGGAGCATAATACACATAGAAAGCCAATCCCAGTACTTCAGAAAGAGGAGTTCGCTTTGTCTTCCAGTGTGAGATAAAATGATTTTAAAAGGACGTATTCTGAAACAGAAATCTTTGAGTAAGTAGGGACTTACTCTTGAAGATATCTATTGACATTCTGTAATGATTAAATAAATGAGTGACAGTGGTTTTTTTTTGATGACAGTATTCTGAGGATGATTATTATAAAGGTCACAGAGAATAATACAAGTGTTTCTTCAATCTGGGGCAGTTGGCCCATTTTAGCTACAAGTCAGAAAATCAATTTCAAGATTTTTCTCAAGGAGTACATAACTGAACCAGTAATTTTAAGAGAAAACTGACTCATGTGGTTAAAAGTACAGGCTTGCAAATTGAAAGAGGCTAATGAATAATTACAATCTTTTAGTTTAGAACTACAGTTTAGAGCTGGGTGTGGTGGTGCACACCTGTAATCCCAGCACTCAGGAGGCTGAGGCAGGAAGAGCATTGCAAGTTCGAGACCAGCTTGGGCTACATAGTGAGCTGAAGACCAGACTGAACTGCATAGTGAGACCTGCCTCAAAAAGACAAATAAAGCAAAACAAAACAATATTAAGCATGACAAAGCTCACAAAAGAGGGAGTATCAAATCATGCGTTGCATTCAGTAAAAGCAAACAGGAGCCCCAAATTCCAAAATGCTAGCACACGAGGATATTTAAATTATGAAGCCATGACCCTACTGTAAATAAAGTGGTCCAGAACTTTTTTTAGGGGTAAGTTGAAATGAGTGAAATAAAGCAGAGTTAGACATGTACAACTCTGGAAGTTAAACAGATTCTTTTCTTCTCCAGGCTCGACTGTGGGACAGGTTTGTGCCACTGACAAGGACGAGCCCGACACCATGCACACGCGCCTGAAGTACTCGATTGTTGAGCAGCTGCCTTCCCAACCTGTGCTTTTCACTATGCATCCGTCCACGGGCTTGATCACCACGAAATCGTCTCAGCTTGACAGAGAGGTAACAGGAGCTGGCATAGATACACCCTGATTGCAACCTGCCCGTTAACAATGCAGTTAATTATACTCAACTCAAAGATCTGAAGCATTGGGAAAATTCCATACCTGACCTCTGGACACATCGTACTAAAACACAGGCGTGCTAAAAATACTATGGAGAATTTAAGCCAAGAAAAGTTTAAAATAGTATTAGTATACTCATTTAAATAACAGACTTGGTATTGTTAACATAGATAATTTTTTTTATAAAAAAAGATAAGTAAATTTTGAATACTTTAGTGAGAACAATGAATAATTTAGTGAGAAGAGTGATATTATTGTGTAGTTTTTCAAATCGTTTTAATTGAGATTTCACAAAAATATGACAGGTTCTCATATCTCCTTCTGGGTTCTGTCTGTTCTAATACGTAGTTTTAGCTGAAATGTATGTAGAACATCTGACGTGAGTTGAAGTTAGACAAGAGAGAAATACTTACCTAGTAATTTTCAGATCACGATGGCTGTTCTGTGATAGGGCAGCTTTACAAGTGTGGGCTCCTCATGGTTTTTGCGACATGGACTTTGAAGCTTTAACAGTGAACTGTCAAGTTTTGTTTTAATCAGTGGATTACACTCCATTCACCTATTTTGAACTGCAAGTGGATGTTTTACCGATGCATGATTTTTAACATATGCATCAGTCTTTTGGAAAGTGCTGGCTCACTGAATGAGACATGTTTCATTCAGGCAGTAGTGAGGAAGGCACCTCTTCCCTCCCGTTACTACCTCAGTGGTTGATACAAGTTTTCTAAAGGTTCTTGCTTCTGCTTAAAAATACCAGTTTTTCTGACAACACTGGCAACACACAACTGTTTTCCTTGAAGTGATGTGATGATTTTTTTCCCAGATGCTTTAGCTTGAATAACACCGGTGTCTGTCATGTAAAGTCAGAGTTTATTGAGGGAGGAAACCTGAAAACAATTTTTAAAAAATCACAATGACTTGTTCAATTGACATGTCAAACAGTCACATAATACTTACCCTTCATAAATCCTTTGGTAGAGTCACTTAAAAACACCTGACCTCTAAGACGTTTTCTGAGTAGTGTAGCAGTGGGAGCCCCACTTTTCTTGCTAAGCTGTTGTAACTTACTGACCTTAGGATTCTACTTTTTATTTGTTGCCTATATCATTTTCTCTTTCTTCTTTCTCTTTAATGTCTGTCTGTCTAACTCTATCTAACTATCTCTTCATTTGTTTTTCTGGCAATGAGGATTGAATGCAAGGCCTCATCCATGCCAGGCACGAGCTACACTATTGAGCTACATTTGCAGCTTGTTTTATTTATCTTGAGATATGTTCTTAAGTTCCCAGACTGGCCTCCATTTCGTCATTCTCCTGCCTCAGCTTCCTGAGTAGCTGGGATGAGAGGCGTGTACTACCTCATCTGGCGCCCACCACTTTTCTAAACATTAAACCTCTTTCTGAAGATATTACTGATTAATATTTAGGATAACAAGATTTTTTTTCTTAACTATCCAACTGATTATTTTCAGTAAAACCCAGGACACTGTAAAGAAAATATGTATTTCATCTTGAAAGTATAGTAGCATGATTTTATTTTATTTTATTTTATTTTATTTGAGACAGGGTGTCACTATGCAATTCAGATTGGCCTCGACCTTGATGAACTCACTATGTAGCCCAAACTGGACTTGAATTTGTGTCAGTCCTCCTGCCTCAGCCTCCTAAGTGCTAGGATTATGGATGTGCACCACCACACCCAGCTTTAAAACCTTTCTAAAATTTTATTTAGGCTATTATTTTTTAAGACTAAATAGGTAATAAGTTATGAGGGAAGAAAGATTTAGGAAAATTACATATGCAAAAGCATATATATAATAACTAGTTTTATTTTATTGTGTGAGTCCCAAGGCACCCTGCAAGGTGATAGAATTACCAAGAAAAGGTGGCTTTTTAAGAGAGCGATGAACAATTTAGGTAGAAAGTTAGGATAGATTTTTGTATATTATTTTGACTTAGAAAAAGAGATGAATTAGCTTGGAAAAGGAATGCTGAAGGCCAGTTTAAAGAAAAAGAATCCTAGGCAAAGAGGCCTTTCCAGGATTGCATTTTGTTCTTTTTGAAGCTGAGAATAGAAGGCAAGTCTACTAATTCTCTGTCAGGAAGATATTATTATCTTGCCTTTTCCTTCTGTGTAGCAATCACGGTAACTGAAACCATTGTAAGAAAAACATTTTTTTTTTAAGTAGGGATGAAACTTCTCTAAGATTTGATGGATAGGAAACCCTCAAAGCCATTTTTTCCTAGAAATGAGAAATTACATATCCCTAAACCTGTATTTTCATATTAAATTGATGATTTTTTAAACAAACGTAAAGCAAAGTTCATAGGAAGATGTTTCACCTTATTATTTTATTACAAGACTGTTAGAAGAGTCACTGATGTATATTTTTGAATATATGAATGCACTTTGGATAAAAATACAAATGTTTTGATTAGTCATCTGATAATTTTAAAGGTATTATGACTACTGCTCTTTCTGTTGGATAATAACAAATCCAATTAACTGCATAGTCTATGAATTAGTAGCACTTTAAATTTGAAAAACTATTTCACTATTTTCTTAAATTAATTGAAAATTACTAAGAATTATTAGGCTTTTCTAGTACACAAACACATTAAAACTTATTAATGTAAGGAAAATTATAAAATATGGGATTTCATCTGTAGTATTGTTGCTTTCTCCCAATAATTAAATACTTTCTTGGTTTGCAGGTGATTGATAAATACCAGCTGAAAATAAAAGTCCAAGACATGAATGGCCAACCTTTTGGTTTGCAGACAACTGCAACTTGTATCATAAATATTGGGGATGTGAACGACAACTTACCAACATTTATCCGCACTTCTGTAAGTACACTCTATCACTGTTGAGTCCAGTGGTAATTGTTAAATACACACATCTTTATGCATGCCTCCGGCCTTAAATGAAATATGCTCACAAAGATATAAGAGTGGTTTAGTGTAATGTTTAAAGTCATGTGAATAAAGTAGTTTGAGTATCAAAAGGATGGAGCTTATTTCATACGGTGACCTATATTCATGAGGACTACGGAACACAACTCCCTGTTTTCTTTTTATCATTGTAGTATGCGGCATCAGTGGAAGAAAACACAGCTGATGTGGAAATCTTACGTGTTCCTGTTGAGGATAAAGATTTAGCTGGTACTGCTAATTGGAGAGCTAATTATACCATTTTAAAGGGCAATGAAAATGGGAATTTTAAAATTGTAACAGATTCCAAAACCAATGAAGGAGTTCTGTGTGTAGTCAAGGTAAGAACAAATTAATAAACCTATTATTTGTAATTTGTAATTTATATAGACTGCTAAGATTGAATGGAAAGGGGCTGGGGATTTAGCTCAGCGGCATAAGCGCCTGCCTTGCAAGCAGGCGGTCGTGAGTTCCATCCCCGGTACCGATAAAAAGTTAAAAAAAAAAGACAGGAATTCTGGTTAAGTGTAAAGATAAATTGGATACATAGGTAGATACAAATGCTATTTTCTTCATTTATATAGTGAAATGAATATATTTACTGTTGGTAACTTTTTTTGGAAGGTAACTTTTTAAAAAAAACAATTATATGTGATCAATTAACATGATATATAATATTCACTTTACAACTGATAGTTTAACAGTTCAGAAACTAGCATGGCTTTGTAGACCTTGCCAAACTTTGTTAGACTGTTCTTTTGTATCTGAATCAAGGAGTCTTTCCCCTATTTACCAAATTTACCACCAGAGTTACTCTAGGTCGGACTCTTAGAGAGACTGTAAGTTTATTATCTGCATGCAGTACACATGCACCCTTAGCATCCAGGTGCAGGATGGAAGTCCACTCAAAGACGGGAACACTTCCAAGATTCTTTTTAGTTTGATTTTCTGTCTAAGAACTGGCTCGTCATTCGGGAGCCAGAGTGGTGCATAAAGCAACCTAAGCTGTTCTGACCTTGAACAAAGTCATGGGTTTATTTCTGCTGTGTCTTTAATTAGAAACGGTTGCATTGTGTGTTGTGAGTTTTCTCTTGTACCTGTCCTCAAGAAGCACCAATCCCAAAGGATGAATTTTTTTCTACAAAATAATGAAACGTGGCTCAGTTTATGGGTTAACTTTGTTTCAAAACAACAAAGAAATGCCCTTTAAAATCTTCTTCTTTTCACCTGTCATCTTTCCCCAAGAGGAAAATCTTTGTGAAGTATAAGACCTAAAAAAAACTTTTTTTTAATTCTTACAAAAAAAATGAGGGAAAAAAGCCCCCAAAGTTGTACTTCCAGTCTGTAAGAAAAACTGGGAGAGAAGAGATAAAACAAAGACAGGGTGATGTCCATAAACTTTGTATTTTCTTATCTTTTTCCTCTTAACATTTTATAAAATTTTTCTACCCAAACCAGGTAAAAATATTTTTTTAATCTCAAGAGTTTAAGATGTACCATCCTAAAATCAATGGTATAGTAATTAGTTATTGATAATGATGTGAGCTCCCCCAGGAGATCTCATTTGTTAATACCCAAATACTGCAGTAGCTTTGTTCTTCCTGAAATCGTTATGGACACCTATTATACTACTTCTGTTAATTTCCAGTTGAGCAAGAAATTTTTGCCCTGTGTTTACTAGCTCCACCAAAATTCCTGATTAATTGAAGGAATGCCCTCTTTTGATTTTTTTTTTTTTTTTTGTACCTGGGATTGAACTTGCGACCTCTCGCTTGCTAGGCAGGTGCTTATGCTGCTGAGCTAAATCCCTGGCCCTTGATGATTTTTTTGGCATGTTTTAAATATTTTCCTGACTGTTCTTCACATAGCACTGTACTTGCATAGCTTCAAATTTAACGAGTTAAATATCCTAGTTATCACTCTGATTTTCAACATATTTGCTTTTTCAGCCACTGGATTATGAAGAAAGACAGCAGGTGATCTTGGAAATTGGGGTAACTAATGAAGCTCCATATACCAGAGAGGCTACTTTGAAATCAGCCATTAGCATAGCGACAGTTACTGTTACCGTCACAAATCAGAACGAGGGTCCTGAGTGCAAACCTCCTACACAAACTGTTCGGATTAGAGAAAATGTTCCTGTGGGAACCCAGAGCGTTGGCTACAAAGCTTATGACCCAGAAACAGGAAGGAACAGTGGCATAAGGTGTGCATAATCCACTGCTGGTCACTCCAAATTTATTGTTTTAAATTTTTACAGCCTTTTTTAAAATATCCCTATTATAATTTAACTTCTACTATTTGTTATTTCAATTCACCGTTGTTAACAGGTACAGAAAATTAAGTGATCCAAATGGATGGGTCACCCTGAATGAAAATTCAGGGTCAATCACAATTTTCCGAAATTTGGATAGAGAGGCAGAGTCCATCAACAGTGGTGTATATAATATTACAGTCCTTGCATTTGATAAAGGTAAGAAATTGGCTTTTAAGTCTGCTATTGCTATTATACCAACACATATTCTCAGCTTTTAAATTAATAGCATACTTTTCATTTATCTATTTATTTTTGGCCACGCTGAATTGCCAGACCCAAAATATACATTTTTAACACTGGCTCATACTTATTTCCACACAGTGAACTTCTGGAAAACAGTTGCAGTCTTTTATAGGAAACTAACAATGCCTGTGGGATCAGAATTCTGATTTAAGGACATTATACAAAAATAAATCACAGCCACAATTAACAGCATTATAAAATTATGGAGACCACTGTGAATCCATATACACACATAAAATGTAAAATTATATACTATGAGTCCTGTAAAGTTGAGGGAAATATGAATAAATATGAATATAGTGATTTTATATAAAGCTTATTTATTCATAAAATATAATTTTACCATAACATACATTTAAAAATAAAAATGCTAATTATAGTAGACATAAATGGTGGTGCTCTAGCTTGCAAAATTAGAGTTTAGAAATGATTTTGGAATATGATTTAGCTATTTTGATTCTCTCTGAATTAATTTTAGCATATTTTCTTAACTAATCTCTTGAAATATTTTTCCACTGTCATCTTGTCTATTGTCTTGTATGACTCCTGTTAGAACAATATTGCGGTTTTATGTATGCTGGAATTTAAGCTGTAATTTCATTCTTATTTAATTAATTTTTCTTCCTTACATCTTTGAAGATCCTAAAAATATACCTGCTTCACATGTGTCTTGCATAGAGTAAGTTAATCTTCTGACTGGCGATTTTGTTGACTTTCCTACACACTGATCATTTGGAAATTTCGGTAGATAGGCTTATATGAAATGGGGAGAGTTTGGCTTGCTTCCTGCTTGGGGGTTTCCCTCTCCTACTTTCCTGTCCCAGTGTAGCCCTGTAGTTGGCTCTGCCTGCTCCTTCTCTGCAGCCTGTGATTTGGACCCAGTTCATAGCTGGGTGGCCTGGTGCTCCGACCCAGGATGACACTCAAACTATCAAGGTCCAGTTGCTCTGTCACAGGCAGAGTGGTTTACTGGGGTTCTGGCCACAGGGCAGGAGATTGAACTTGGAGCTCTACTCTGGCTTCCAAAGAGCATCGACTCTTCAGTCTCACTGTCCCCTCTCCCGTCTGCCTTCTTCATTTACTCCAGATCATGGCTATCCACCTCCTTGAATTTGTTTGTGGATTTGTTTCATTTTGTTTTGTTTTGTTTTGTTTTTGAGACAAGCTCTCCTTGTGCAATCCAGGCTGGCCTTGAACTCACTATGCAGCCTAAGCTACTCTCAAACTCCTGGCAATCCTCAGCCTCCTCAGTGCTGGAATTACAGGGGTGCACCACTGCACCCACCTCTTTGTGTTTTTAAGCATACCAGAAGTATCCTTTCTGGTACTCTTTACTTCTTTTAAGCTCACTTCTATAAAAACATCTATGTTTACTGAAGTGATTTAGTGAATGGATGAATGCATATAAATATTTTCTGTACAACCCATTTGAAAGTAGTATTTTACCCTTAACTCTCAAAAAGGATATAGTGTTTGGCTATCCTCATTATTATAACTTATACATTATAGTTTTTTTATTAAATTTTTCTGATATGTAATTTCCTGGTGAAAACTCGCAACAGAAACAAATTTTTTCATTTTCATTTTTCTAGATGAAAGAAGTTGTACTGGAACTTTGGGGATTATACTGGAGGATGTGAATGACAATGGCCCATTCATCCGGAATCCTGTAGTGACTATCTGTAAGCCCACCATGTTCTCTGCGGAGATTGTTGCTGTTGACCCGGATGAACTCATAAATGGCCCACCATTTGACTTTACTTTGGAGAGTTCTGATTCAGAAATACGGAGAATTTGGAGACTGACAACAATTAATGGTATATGTTTTTAAACATTGCTTTTTGTTGTTTTGTTTTCAACATCAAATTTTTTTTTCTTGATGAAGCAGAAGAAAAATTTACCATGTTGGAACCACTAATGTATAAGGCACATCTCTCAGTGTAAGTGTGCTGGGAAGTGGGTCTTCCTAGCGTCTACCTGCAGTCCCCTGTCAGGGTTCCCGTGGTGTTTTGTGCACTCTCACCTTCATTCTACACAACCATCCACATAGAATCTTTCCATGGTAATTGCATTCTGGATCATAAGCAAAATGGTCACAGGTTGGTTCCCTAAGAAGTAGACTCTGAAAAGATTCTCAAGAAGAATGTTCCTGAAGGAATTTGCTTGGGATTCATAGCTATATAAGAAAGGGAGCAGACTAAGGGAAAAGGAGAAGCCAGGCTTCAGCTTAGATGGGATGAGATAATCTGGGGAGGCTGAGCTAATGGCCTTCTAGAATCTTCCCACATCCACTTCTTATTCTCTCTCATTGCTCACCCCTAAAGTGGGCTGCCCAGAGGGGCGTGAACTCAGGCTTCCCCAGCAGCTGGGACAGACAGTCATTTGTGCAAAGGATCTGACGCCCACAATGGGGTGATCACCGCATCATCCTTCTCTTTGCCACTGAAATATCTGATGACCATTTTCAGTCTGTTCTATTCTCCCAATTGGGATTTTCTCCCAACCTGGTTCCCAGTCTGTACTTTTAACTTCAGTCAAGGTCAATGGTGGTGAGCGTGGGGGAACTCAAGGTGACTTCTCACCAGTTCCACACTGACGTCACTTCCGGCTTCCCTCCTCTCTTCTGCACATTCCTCGAATGTTTTGCAAACCCAGGCTTTCAGAGAATGTGCTTTGCTTCTTGTTATGGGAAATTAGGAAAGAAAGATTGTGAAGGACTGTGAGGAACGGGTGCAATGGGAGAAAAAGAACTGAGGGCACGTGGAAATAAGTTAAGGTACTGTGTGTTGAAGCCTGTTTTGTGAACTGATGAGAGTTTAGAGTTTTTTTTAAAAACAGTATTGTGACTACGTGTATCAGGGTGGGGTACAACTGTTCTTAGATTTTGTCCCTTCAACTTATTTGATGTTATAATGTCATTGTGTTTTAAATAGTGTTGATAAGACATGGTAATTTTTTTTAAAATTCTGGCTTAGCAAAATAAACTTTGGCAGCAGTACGATTGTCAGTCAAATCTTTGTTTCCTTGTTTTTATGGGGCTGAAAATCTGACTCAGTATATAGTAGGCACATGTCATACCATTGAACTGTACTCACAGCCCCAAAACTTTGTTACTTTAAAGAGAAACTGGTCTGTAAGTTTATCCAAAAGCCTGGGAAACACTAAGTTAATTAAAAAATAAAATAAAATAGAGAGAGAGAGAGACTTTAAAATCAGATGGGTTTAGTGTCAAACACTGGCTCCACCATCTATTATGTAAATCTGATCATTGTAGGTATTTTTTTTCAGGAGTAATTTATTCATGTATAATATAGGATTACTTTGGGAATACATGAGATAATGAATGAAACAGACCATGGCACACAATGAATCATAAGTTTTGGTTTTGTTAGGCTAAGTATTCTTCTTCTTATGCAATAGGCTGTAATCATGGATCCTCTTAAAATATTAATTCAATGATATCGTCACCTAAGCATTCAATTTTTACTTAGAGCTACAAACCCTAACACAGAAAGTTAAAATCTCATCTTGATGGTTAAGTGAAAGAGGGATTGTTCTCTGATAGGCATGTGGTGTCCACATTAAAGCTTGTATTATGTCTTTGGCTCTAAACCCAAGATTGTACAAATGGGCTTTGAGGCTGGGTATTTTTCCTCTTTAATGTTAAAAACAAAAATGGGCAGTATTCTCCTGTCCTTTAGGCCTGGAAGATGCAGTTCCAGCAACAAGACCTACACCCATGTTTGAGGTCAGGTGTGTTCTGAGTGATCAGAGTCAGTCTCTGGTAGGAAATCACAAGTATCTATATGTCTCTAACACAGTGCGTGAAAACAAAGTAATAAGGAAAAGCATTTCAGACTGTTTCTCTGTGATGAATCATGTATAAAAGGATACACACTGACTCGTTTAACTGAATATTTTAAAGAAATGGTAAGCATAAACCTTTTAGCAAGCATACTAGATATGATAGAAAGGACTGGTTTATGAATGGATAAAATGTATTATAAAAGCCCAGAGACTTTCATAGGAGGCAGCGTACACAAACTTTTATGTACAATGTATTTGGTATGGCTATAGATTAGAACTACTTGGTCCACTCACATTTGCCATCTGTCAGCAAGTATGCCAGCCCATTAGAATGTCCGGTGGTAGGGAAATAGGCTTAACCATCTGGTAACTCATTACCTATGCTCACTATAACACTGGGTCTTGTTTCGTTTTCCAGACACAGCAGCACGTCTTTCTTACCAGAATGACCCTCCTTTTGGAACATACGTGATGCCCATCCGAGTGACAGACAGACTGGGCCTGTCTACGATGAATTCATTGACAGTTCGGCTGTGTAATTGCATTACTGAAGCAGAATGCGATATTCGCTCCATTGAAAGGATTGGTGGTAGCTCAGTAAAACTTGGAACATGGGCCATCCTCGCAATATTATTGGGCATAGCGCTGCTATTTTGTAAGTGTTTTCTCATGCTGAAATACAACACTAGCTTTTAAAGTAACTTTCAACACACATTTTTAGAATCAACACTATATCCTGTTGCTTAACTATATTTCTGTTTAACACACAAATACAGTTAAAATATTTTAAGTGCACTTATATGTAGTCTTTATTGGCAGGGATATAAAAATTGGTGTAGAATGATAGCATGTGTAATGTATTTCTAGCATATCTGTCCAGGGCAGACTTTGTCTGTAGAATATCACTTTGCCAAAAGCAATCATACTTTATGTTCAGATGACAGTTTTCTTTTAATACACAGTCTTATTTATGCTGTATCTGTATAGCAAGCGCTGTGATAACTTCACATCACTTTATGACAGACTTAACGAAACTACTGGACTTCCATTCTTCCTCCAGGTGTCCTGTTTACCTTAGTGTGTGCCGCTACTAGGGCAGGCAGAGAAGTCAAAGCTCTTCCTGACGATTTAACCCAGCAGAACTTGATCATATCAAACACAGAAGCTCCTGGAGATGACAAAGTGGTAAGATGTCTGTTTTTCAAATGAGCGCAAGCTAGGTGTGGTGGCATGGGCCTGTACTCTCGGCACCCCACGAGGCTGAGGCAGGAGAATTGCAGGTTTGAGCTCAGTTTGGGCAAGTTAGCAAGTTCTCATTTCAAAGTAAGAAATTAAGTGAACTGGGGACTAAACACAGTGTTGTGGCATTGGGTTCATCTTGCAGTGACACACACAAACACACACATACATGCATATACACACAAAACATAGAGGAGGAGTTACCAGTGAATACCCTTTCCAAAATTATCTTTTCTGAGCAAAGTGTTTTTAATATTAGATAACTTGCCATAAAATGTCATCAATTTCATGGCACAGTGAAGATAATTTTGAGTCCCCTGGTGATACATGGTATTTCACTTTGCCTACCTAGTGTCCCTTAATAACAAAAATCCTTTGACTGTCTTTACTATTTTCTACTTTAAGTGTGGTTTTAACATTTAGCTAGATTGTTTTTCATCTTCTTAAACTGTTGCTTATGCTGTGAAAAGGTTGCATTTAATTAGTCACAGGTCACCAGCATAATTGTTTTAAATTTTTTTTGGCAACACCAATAAAACCACTGCAAGCTTTGATCATGGTGGGAAGAAGTTTAATGGACTCTTTCTGGCTGTAATGTGGGTTAGAAACAGCCGGGAGCTGAAAGTCTGAAATGGCAGTTTTAGGAAGTCACTGCATCGCTGTGACTTTTTCTAGCCCATGCTGTAGAAGAGGAGTAAGCAAATTCCCTATGAGAAACATAATTGGTGATCAGAGCAGAAAAGAGGAAGAGACAGAAGCATGATGAATTGAGGGGAAATTGGGAGAAAAAAAAAAGAAACCTTAAATTACATTAGAATGTCCAAAAACATAGACTCCTCAGGGCTCAAACTTTGATGTTCCTGATATTTCCCCTGCCCAATTCATGGTTTGTGTGCATTTAGGTTGCAAGAATTTATGAGTACAACTGAGATATTTATAGCAACTTTATTCTTTTTATTTTAGTTGACGGAAACTGAATTGAACACTGAATAAAAAAGTCTGGTCAGTATTTCAGTTTCTACTGTAGTCAGGTAAAGGGGAATGGTTTTAAATTAAGAAAGCAAATACACATGAGAAAGAAGCACTGATTTTGAGGCATGAGATGCAGGAAGGATGTAACAAGCAGCTTTTAAAGATGGAGCAGACATCAAGCTTTTTGATTTGTCAACAGAAGCCAGCCACTAACATCCAAAATTCCTTTCTTATGTTAGACACTACATTTAATATGCGGATTGTAACAGATAGGTATTCAGAGTCGTCTGCCTTCAGAGAGCTTCTCTCCTAGCACACAAAGCAAATCCAGGCATGATCTGCATGATGACCTTCTATTTATTTATTTTGTTGCTGTTGTTCCCTTCTGTATTCGTTAACATAAATGGTTTTCATTTCAGTATTCCACAAATGCCTTCACGACCCAGGCTGTGGGCGCGTCCAGTCAGGGGATCTGCGGCGCCGTAGGCTCTGGAGTCAGAAGTGGTGGGCAGGAGACCATAGAAATGGTGAAAGGAGGACAGCAGACCTTGGTGGGATCCGGTGCCGGGCACCACCACACCCTGCATCCCTGCGGGGGAGGACGCATGGAGATGGAGAACTGCCGGTACACCTACTCCGAGTGGCACAATTTCACCCAGCCGCGGCTCGGCGAAGTGAGTTTCCCTAGGTCTCTTTAAATCTACTGTGATGTCTTTTAAATTCTATATAAATAATTTCCATTTCATGTTTAGAATTTAAATTTTGTTTTTGATTATGAATCTATTCACTGGAAAATGACTTTTTTTCTTGATTTTGATTCAGTTATGTTCAAATTTAAGTGATTATTTACTTTCCCTAATATTTTGTTTGGTTTTTAATATTCTTCCCGACGTAACATGTTTAAATTACTCTTTCATGACTTTGTGCTAATATTTCTCGTGTGTCAGCTCTGCTCTTAGCAGAAGTATGACACTGGCAATATAAGCAGGCACTGTTACTATACCAGTCTGGGAAGATCTGAGCTCACATCAATTTGGGTTCAGTGTCGATGGACAGATTTTCATCATTTTGAAAGTGGAAAGCAATAATTACTTAAAACGAACACTTGTGTACTTGTGGGTGACTGTTAGAGACGTGCTGTGTACTGAATATATGATGCGATTCTATGATACAGACCAATCATGTGCATTTTCTACATATAGGAATCCATTAGAGGACACACTGATTAAAAATTAAACAATGAAAGGTAAATCAAAGCAATTATTTTTATGACAGTAAGGTTTGGTGTGTAAAATAATAATAATAAAACGTTGTGCTTTCCCCTCGGCAGAAGGTGCATCTGTGTGATCAGGACGACAACCACAGGCATGCTGCAGACTACATCCTTCCGTATAACTACGAGGGCAAAGGGTCGGCGGCTGGTTCCGTGGGGTGCTGCAGTGATCGGCAGGATGAAGATGGACTTGAGTTCTTGGATCATTTAGAACCCAAATTTAGGAGACTAGCAGAAGTGTGCATGAAGAGATGACCATGTTCTAGTTAGTCGACAAAAGCCAGTGGCTTTCTCACCTGTTTTTTCGCCTTTTAATTACAAACCAACATTTAAAAACAAAAACCAGAAGACACTATTTGGAGCTTTTCTCCTTTATTTTTTGGAATCTTCTTGACCAAAGATGCATTTACAGCGAGACCGTATTCTTTGAGTAGATCCACAGATGGCAAATTTAAAGCAATTGGTGTTATTGTTTACATTTGGACATAATGACAGCAGCCAACTTACTGTGCAATTAAATTTAATTAATGGAAGTCTGTATTTTGCTGACTACTTGAAGAACAACCTAATCGAAGATTGTAGAGGACATTAGCTCCTAACTAGTTAATTGTTCATATGGTGCTTGGAAACTGTGGTTTTCCTGAACATTCTCGAGTGTACATACTGCCTGCTTGCTATTTTATTCTTGTAACATGGCCTTTCTTCATAAAGCAAAGGGAGATTTTTAACCAGGCATTGACTGTTATTACAATTCCATTTTAGTAGCATTTAATTTTAGGTTTTATTCTATGTAGAATCCTGCACTGAATGTACATTTTCTGTTACCTACTTTGTTAGTGAAATACAAATCTCAAAAATGCTTTCAAGGTGTATTTTTACTCTAGCAAGTCTTTTGTCTTTGTAATGAGAAATCTGTCTGCGTCTTTATCTTTTTCTCACTCTCTGTCTCTCTGTCTTTCTGTCTTTTTGTCTCTCTCTCTCTCATACACACACACACACACACACAAATACACAAAGTTTCTTTCTCTCCTGTGTCTCCTGTATGTCTTTACCATCTCTACTTGGGTTTGCGAATCCAAATATTTTAAAACTCGTCTCATTTTTTCTCCTAAAAAATGAATTATTCCATGTTTAATATAAACCTGTGCATTCTTGGTGTTTTTCTAAAAATCAGTGTAATGTGGACTTGTTTTGAATATCTTGCTGATTGCTTCCTTACCTTCCCATCCTTTAATTTTGCCATTAAAACTAAAAAGCTGTCATGATTTTATTCAGTGCAGCACTCTATATCAACAAAAGGAGTGGTGTAATTAGAATTAGGATGTGATATTTAGTGTGTAACAACACATTTCTATTTCGTATCTTTAGTGCAGTTTATAAATGGAAAATAGTGATATTTTTTGAAATAAGCTTTGAAATACAGGGATCTTGAATGCTATCTAGGATAGCATTTTTATAACTTTTTAAGATGAGATTACTACTCATTTCTATATATTTGTAAAGTTATTGTTTAATGTTTTATGATTACCTTTTTTTAGAAGCAGTGTGAGCCAAGCTGTTTAAATTTTAAAATATAAAGACAAAAGAAACTTATTAGCCAACCAAATCCAGGCCAGATTTCTAGCATATTTCAGTCCATGAATTCTGTATGTCTGCTAACTATATGGATATTCTAAATGCATTTTTAATATTTATGATTGTTAATCATGTATCTGTCACAAATTCATAAGGTTGGCTTATAGCAATTACTGTTCAAAAGTACCATTAGGTAATTATTTTATAACCAATTATTTGAATACTTATCTTTTCAATACTTTCATTACTGCTCAGTCAAATATAAAGTCTTCCAGGTATTTTTAATAAATTATGTATAAAATTCTTCTCTATTACTAATTATATTAAAATAAAGTTTTAGAAATTAGTGTATACTTTAAAATCTTGGGGCTAATAAAAGTTTAAGGAATTGTACTTTTCTGATATGGAGAAATGAATCCCTTTTCCAGACTCCTATTACATATGCTTTAGCATTTAAAGTTTTATTTGGAAAGATCTTTGATGTACTGCTCTCAAATTAGTAAGAGTAATATGTATAAATTATGTATTCTAAAGATCGATGCTGTGGACATTGATTAATTTGCATATTTTGTCTATTTTTTATCATCTTAAAATGGGAAATACTACTAAAATTTCTTTTCTAGGGTAGCAGTAAGACATTTTAATAAAAAGTGGTTTTTAAACATGCAAATTATACAGGGTTGTCCACCTAAAGAACACTTCTAGTAATACTACATGACTAAATAATTCACATATTGAGCCCATTTCAAGTTAGCAAAAGAAACCAACTAAGAAAATAGAATAACAAATTTTTTAAAGCTTTCCATTTGTCAGTTTGCAAAGATGGCTGAAACCTCCATCTGGGATTCTTTGTAATACTGTGAACTGCTGGGTCCAAACTGATTGGAAAGCAGGGGATCTACTTATTAAAGTGGGCCCTAATTCTAAAATCCTGTGAAAATCATGGAGGTTTAAGATTCCTCATAGTGGTCCTTCCTCAGCTGCTTTCTAGGCTGTCTTGCCAGACATTAGCAGTTGTCTGGTAAGAGTTTTGGGCTCTTTGGTAGATGCCTGGCAACTATAAATGCAAAAAACCTTCAGAGTAAGTGTCTCTGAGTGTCTCTGAGGTGGGTCCTGGCTCCACCCTTGCTAACTATGGGTTTTCAGAAGCTACTTAAACTTCCGAGACCTAGCTTCCTCACTCATTGAGGGATGCAGAGAAGAATATGTGAAAGGGCTGCTGTCAGAATTAAAAGTTAATTCAAGAAGAAACTGCCTAGAGAAATACTCAGTGTTAAATGAGAGGAGAATTTGGTTGGGAAGAGAGAGAGTCGCTTCTACTGTGATTTGCTTCTGCTTTTTGTCACATTGCAGCTGTTGATCTGTCCCAGAAGCTAATCAGTATTGTACCTGACTCAGCCGTTGGCAATGTTGTGACTGATACAGTTTGTGGATCTCTTCTTGGTATTTATCTTATTGTATCTTCTCATCTGTAGCTCAGGAGTCAATGCGATGAATCTTAAAGCTTAACTGAAAAGGCAGGTAATGTCTATAATTAGTCATAGTTAAGCAAAATCTTAAGGATTTACATCCAGTGACACGGAAGGTGTTTCACTGGCAAGAGACAATAAGTTGTTAGTTTATTACAGTTTTCTTTGAGATCTTGCAATAATAACTTCCTGGATTTTATCCTTATCACAAGACTTTTTTTTTTTATTTAAAACCTTAGGTTTTGAATCTGACTTTGACTCTAGGCTTCTCCTTTAGTCTCCATCTCTATCATTTTTCCTAAGCTCCAGAATGATTTTGCTCTGGTCAACTACTTTAGGATTATCCTGAGAATAAAACAGGTCTTCTTCAATGTGCTGCATGACATCTATGGAGATCATAGTTCCTATTCACTTCTGGAGACCCCTTAGGACTTTAAGCTCAGTGCATAAAAACTAACTATGCTGTGCAGCCCCATGGGAGTCAGGTTCTTCTGAGTTTCCTGTCTGAATGAGATACTCTTTCTAACTAATTAGAAAACTGAGAAACTTTGATTCCTCTCCTTGATTCTTCAAGAAGGAATCCTTGATTCCTCCCTCTTTTCTTCAATAAACAGCACCTCCTAATTGTTGCACACTTCCTACATCTGAGAAATTTAAACCTAGTTCCTATTCAAGAAATGATATGCAGTAGTCCTTTAATGCTTTCACAGTAGAGTCACGCATGGTCTTAATGTACACCATAAAGACAACCTGCTTGAAGAAGTACAAGATGAATCAGCTCCTCTCCCTGCCCACATACTCTAATGCAGGTCTAGACATGGTGGAGGAGAGTAAGGAGTGGACCAATGTCTGTAAAACATCATATGGTGCCTGGCACCTGGGACGCATTCAATACTTGTGAAGAAAAATTCCAGATGACGCAAATAAACTTATACTGTATGAGTGACGTTGTCCTCTTGCTCCTAAGCCGAGTGCTCCTGAGGGTTGAGTGCCACCTGCCTCTCCTACCCTTCACTCTCCTCCTCTTCACTAACAGCTCATCCACCAGCATCCCACTCAAACCCTCAGCACCCCAACTCCACCTGTGCTTACATCTCCAATTTCTTCTTTCTCCTTCCCACTGTCAGCAAAGAACAGATACACTCACAGCATTCTCCTGCCAAGGCCCTTTTGTGGCTTTGGAGGACAAATCTGAAACACACTTAAATAGGGGTTTCCCTGCACTCCACGCAACTCCTCATCTGGGATGCAGCTGTTTGCACAAATGCTTGTGCAGTTACTGGTGGTAGGTGGTCAAGCTGGCCGGGGTCTGGGTACTGAATGCCTTCATACACGCCTGCTGTCTGGCTCATGAAGGGCTCTCCATTTGCAAAGTTCTGAGTCACTTGTCCATTTCTTCCTTGGTAAAGATGGTTTTTGAAGATGTAGTTGAAAGGCCATCTCTTCTAACTGGAAGACATTTGCATCGCTAGAACACATTATTGTTTGTCTTTTTACTTACAGATTTCTGTATATGTACACAAGTGTGCATTTCTTCTTTCATATAGGAAATAGACAACCATTCACATTTTCATGTTTTACAATATAGGCTGCCAACACACTCAGTTGAAATCAAATTTTATTACCTCTTTCATAAAGAGAAAATATTAAAGGTTACAAATTAAATTTGCTTATTCTTACATCGCTTTCTTTTGGCACATAATTTCTATGATGTATATAATATTCTGTGCTCTTTTTAAAATGTAGAGACCCTGAATGACTGGAACATCATTTAGAACTCAGAGCAAGAAAGGGCAGCCCTGAGGTTTTGGAGCCCCATCCTGCTTCTCCCTGGGGTCGTGTGGGTGGCAGGTAGCGAAGGCACTGAGTGTTGTGGTTTCAGGTTAGCTCAGGTCCTCCTATAAATAATTGCACAACACTGGTTTGGAGCTAGCTGAACTGTGGGGAAATGTAATCCTCAAGGCTGCCCATCTGTCTTTCTTCACTGCCTGCCAGCACACAGCGCAGTGGACACTCAGAATGTCCCCTGGATGAATGAATGCATGGGTTTGCATGTACACAGAGTAACTGACCAAGATGGGACTGTGGCATTGCCTAAGTATTCTTTTTGTTCAATGTGAAACTCAATGAACAATACAAAGATTATCAGCGTGGGGGCTGGAGATTTAGCTCAGCGGCATAAGCTCCTGCCTTGCAAGCCTGCGGTCATGAGTTCGCTCCTTGGTACTGCTAAAATACAAAAAAAAAAAAAAGATCATCAGTGTGACTGTCACTTCATTGTCACCATGTTCCAATACTAATGAAAAAAAAATTTAAGTAATGAACCACCTCCTGAAGAAAAACCACTAAGAGCTATCATGTTTTAGGAATGATTCTTAGGAGTTTGCCAAAGCCACTTATTTACAAACTTTCAAATTGGGCCTCAATTTAAGAGGCATCAAGAAACCAGAAGGCAAGGAAAGGAGCAGGGATCTGTGGGATTTTTCCCAGTCTGCAGTCAGCACAGAAGAGCTGCAGGTGAAGACCGGAGGAAAAAGAACTATGCCACTGCAAGCCTCCAAGGCAGTGAGCTGACAGTGTTTCCTAGAAGGTAACCCCCAAATTGTGAGCTCTGAGGCTCCTGACCTCCAACTCTGAGTGTAGGGATCAGACACGCCAGCTCATGGCAGGAAGGCTTAATAAGCAGCGAAACGTCTAGATGTCTGGCTTTTGCTCCTCGGCGGGGCACCGTTCATAGATATTCCTCTATTATGTCCTCTCTACAAGTTCTGAATTCCTAGGTTTGAGCACTGAAATCCTAAAAATGGGATCTGATCTTCCTTCCCAGAAGATCCCTCTCTACCTGTCTCTAGTACCTTACTTCAGCTAAGAAGCAATTTAAATCACATTGTACACATATATGTGTGTGTGTGTGTCTGCATGTGTGGGCCTCCATGTGTGTGTGGCACTGGGGATGAACCCAGGAGCACCCTACCACTGAGGTACCCCATCGCTTTTTATTCTTTATTTAGAGCCAGTCTGGTTAAATTGCCCAGGCTGGTCCTGACCTTAGGATCTTTATGCCTCAGCTTCCCCACAGGCTGGCATTATAAGCATGTACCATTGTGACTGGCTTAAATCATTTTACTTAAATTTTATTTTAAGTTAAACAAATAAATTACTCAGCTGTATTTTACATTAAGATATGTGACATGGAGTTTTAATGCATACCAAAGCAACATTAAGATCAAAGCAACATTAAGATAAAAGCAACTGGAAATAAACAGGGACACTGTTTAGTGATACTGGGGATTGAACCCAAGGCTTTTGGACTGCACTCCATCTCCAGCCCAGTTTTATGTTTTATTTTGAGACACAGCCTTGCTAAATGGCTACATTGCTCAAACTGGACAAGAACTTGAGATTCTTCTGCCCCAGCCTTCCAGAGTACTCAGATTAAAGCATGTGCCGTGATGCATGGCTTGATCATAAGGTATCATAAAATGCCTTTTCCATGAACCTTCGAATGATCACATAAACCCATTTATTAAATCCATTAAACCTATTTATTAAAAATATTTTTTTAAAAAGTTTGGTTCACAGAGGAATATTACTATATTTTGACTTACAGCCATGTTGTTTATCTCAGAGCCATTTTTATAACTTAAATTCTAGATACATGTGAGATTAGAGAAGAGATCTGCATCTCTGTAAGGAATGGCAGTTGGTGCAGGGACACAGCAAGAGCTGCTGTTCTTTATTCCCCTGTGCCGGTGTCCTGTACTACTCTTGAAAACCTGGGCACAGCAAAGAGAATGGAAGTATGGACTCTCTGGTATTCATCTCTTGGACTTTTAGCTATCTTGTTAGAATTAAGGTGGAAGAGCAGAGAAGGATGTTTTTCTTTTGTAGTTAACAAATGTTAGGGTAAATGAAATACTTGTTTGTACTACTTTTAAGTGTGTCATTCACACAGACTCTGCATGTTTACATGCACTAATGTTTGAAAACTATTGACTAGGATTTAATAAATGGGTTTATGTGATTATTTGAAGGTTCGTGGAAAAGGTATTTTATGAAAAAAAATT